CAGAAGTAATTCTTTGAGAATAACCTCTGGAATTCTAATATTTTGATTTGTTTTTCAAGTAGTTGTTGGCACACAAAGTCAATAGTTTCAGTTAAAGGTGCACTGATAAACAGCAAAGCAACATATAGAAATATCATCTGTTTGCCATTTAAGCTGTTATGTTGGACTTTGAAAATGAAATCTAAAACGCATTTCGCACTTTTGTTGACGACTAGTTTGTGTAAGGGATCTAGGATTCGAACTAGTCGCTCTACAGTTTTATGATAAGGCGAATTATATAATATCTAGAACTGGACGAACAAGAACATTTGCCTTGTGAACTTTGGGTAAACCATAGAGTTGCGTTGTGTTCGATCCAGTGGGTTTAAGTGGATCGTGTAGATTTGGAGTAAGTATTCCTAGAAGTTCTTCTTCTTATATCCTGAGATGTTCGTTTACAAAAATAGATTACCAAGTAAACTACTATAGTCGCATTTCAATAATAAACGCACAATCCTCTATCTCTATTCATTGCTAATTATGAGTTTGTAGTTAACTGTCAACACATAATACTGACATATATTGTGTTGTGCTGATTGACCACACTATGAACATTTTAGTAAACCACAACTTGTAATCCAGAAATTTATTACCATAAGTACACGTTTGTTGAAGTATTTTGCAAATTCTGTTGAATATGAAGTTTAGGTTTATTATACTTTGGGTATTCTAAACACTTTGAACTATTCCAATGAATGGAAATAATGCATGTTTGTCTCAATTGTCAATCAAAACAAGTTATAAATTACAATGACAGTACTGTTCAAAGTATCATTCATGCAATATACTACTCCAATGTGTATTTCAGTACCTAAAATGAAAAGGTATTACACATCGATCCAGTAAATGTTTATGGATACCGCTGTTTTTATGATCTAACTGACAGTAATAATTTGATCAAACAGACTCAATACAAAGGTTTGTTCTTTAATCTAATTTGATTAGAAGGAAATGGTTTATAATGGATTGATTCTGTTTATCTCAAAGTCCATAACCTACTGAGCAACTGTATATTCTCTTAATTCAGAACATTAATAAATGTACTCCATCACTGAGAATTCACTTTAATCAAAGTCACGTACTAAAACTATAGTTATCAAACACGGTGTGATATTTAAATTATCATTGTTGGAGACATCTCTTAACGGTTATGTGATTGTCAATCTGTTTCTGCTACAAATTTGGTTTGCTATATAAGGTTCATTAATGCGAAAATCATATTGGTTGGTGGAATTCAGGCCAGATACAGACTTATTTGCAATGGAGTATTAATATGTTAGCAATGCAGTGGAATTTGTTGAACAATGTTATAAAGTTGAAGAAAATTCATGAGTTGAGTCGTTTACGTTAACTATTGTATGTCAGATTGGATTGACATGTTATGTTCAAAGAACGTAGTCCGCTTGAATGACATTCAAAATATCACATGAAATAAACTGTAGTTTCTTAATATATACCGATCATTATTAGACGAACCGACTGTTGGAGGGAAGCTAAGAACAGCTAGACCTAAACATACCATAAATCCATGAAGTCACTGAAAAGTGAACTGAGCTATGTTGGTAGGTGTAGACTATCTGGTTGGTATCCGCAAATCGATAGCAACTGATGGTTAGACACCTTGAATGACATGAATCAAAATCATTTGCAACGGCGCAGGTACATTAACTCTTTGTGTTCTCCCAAATTCTAATCTTCTAAATTCTTCATGTCCTTCTATTTATTCTCTCTCACTGTATTTTACTTATTGAATAACATCCTCAAACCCTATTGTTTCCGATTACTGTTTATACTTTTACTACTTCTACCACTATGAGATTTGAATCGACAATTGTATCAGTGTGCTAATGTGGTATGACAAATTTGACCGATGTGCGTACGTACTTATGAAGTTCCACGTTGTTTCTGAGTGACTAATGATGCCTCTCTACTTCAACTCATTTTGTACTTACGTCACATAAAGATGAGTATATATCAACACTGTTAGTTTATCGGACAATCTGAGGAAATTACGTTTATTAACAAATGTAATTAATATCAGAAGAGGGTTTTTGTGGATATGATAGTAATTGTAATGTTTGAGGACATGAGTGAAATGAAGCTAGACTACTATGAAAACCTGATCCCTGTTGAAGAGTCTCAGAATAGGACGAAACGGCCGTCCAGTGCTTTTAGGTTTTCCATGATGGTCTCAAAATACTTGTTCCTTTTTATTTATTTATTTATTTTAACACATAGATATTGGTACAAGGAGGCACCAAGTATATATGCGCCACACAGATCTCATTTGATATGTGTGAGGGCAGTGATACTGCCCGGGTGCCCAAACTGAAGCAGGTGGTTTTCTTAGGGGGGGACACCTCAAGCCTTTGACTTAAAGGTCTAGTCCACAAAGCAGTAGAGCATCGTGAGGAGATGCAGTCTCATGGTAGCCGGTGACCAACGATTGATTCATACTCCATTTGTTCCCGCAGGATACTTGAGCCTATGTGCATGATTGTTTTGGGATCCGGTTAAAGCGCCGGACATTCGTCTCATTTTCGTAAACAACACCCGTGGTGCGAGAAGGCAGTAAGTAGGACTTCCCTGGCAGAGGCTATATACGCGTGGCCATGTGAGAGCATTTGGAGAGGAAGAGCGGACTCTCCCCACTCTCGGCCGTACCAGGGCGTTTGGGGGCACTATACAATTTTATAAATCAAAAGACTGTATTACACACTGTATTAGAATGAGAAATACATATCCTGCAATACCATAAATAACAAAAAACATTCAAAGCAATGTGAACGTTATCAGGTATTTGCGAATTCGTAAACATTGGAGGTTCCAATAAGACTAAAATGTTGATCTCTGATCGTGAACACTGGATAGTAAACGTTCCACTATCAATAATCTACACCAAATATTCACAACATTGTTTTCATCAAATACATTTAACTTTGAAATTCACTCGGGTTTTGTTTTATTTGTATCTTTTTGTTAGAGTTTTATTCTCTGATCTGGATGGTTTCGTTGTGGAGCTCCACAACTTTAAAACTTCTATCACAAGTTTGTTTTGTACATTTAATGATACTATTTATATCAAATTGATCATCTATGTAAACTGGCGTCAATAGATCGATTTGAGTATTAATGCTTGACCAGTAGTCAATATGTAGCGAACAAGAACACCAGGGGGGTAACAATCGAATGCATTGTGTTCCCGCTCTTTCTTTCTTTCTTGATCTTCCTCCATCTTCTGCTGCCAGACTTTATGTTTCTAACTCGCGTTATATACTACTTATGTTTACATAAGGGAAATGTAAATATATTTAATCTAGATACTTAGTAGTTATACAATAGGAATACATATATAACAACTGTCCAACAATAGTTCTTGGAAGCCATAGATATTGATTCGAAGCAGCCTTAAAACTGTAATCTTTTTTTCAGTTTCTGGAGATCATTTAAATACTGACTCAAACCTAGTTTCTGGTGTTTTTTCGTTTCTTGATCGATCTTTTTGATAAATATGGACTTGCTGACAGTTAAATGTTAGCGATCCAGGAATAGATACTTGAATAAAGTATATTCTTTTCAATGAATATTACCAACCACTATGATATCTTTGACTAAACTCTTTTGTAACATCTATAGTGTAATGTTATGAACTACTCACAAACGTATCTGAATAGATGATGAGATTAATAGGGCATAATGTAGTTGAACTAATGAATCGTAACCATCGAATCTATCTAAGACCCTGAATCTTTATGGTTGATTAATGCATAATGTCTATAATAATAAAAACATGAATTGTGTCTAAAAACTGTGCTTTTATCATAATAATCTATATTAAGCTCAATTAATGGTTGATTAAGACATGAATAGCGTATTCATTGAAGATTACCGGAACGGTTCACTACAAATCAAATAGAAAAAAAACAATTACATAGTTCATAGTTCCTCTAATTACCAGTATAATTAGATTGCAGATTAAATTTTGTATATAAGAGATACTATGTTTATCATCTATTCAGAAAAAACTATACAAACAAACAAACACACACACACACACAAGCACCCACCTACCCACCTACCCACCTAAAAAACAACAAACGGTTAGTTTTCTCATAGTAACTAAATTGCAGTTTAAAGTTTCATCATTGAATAGAATTCTAAGATGTTTTCGTTTCGTTTTAGTATTTCTGTTTCAATAATCTACTATACGTGGTAACATAAACAAACCAAATAGGACTGTGATATATATATATTCATCATTTCTATAATTTATCAAGTAAGTCATAATGGATCACAATTACTTTAAACGACTTTTTCTTATATTCCATATGAATCATGATATTCCATGTTTTTTATAGAGAAGAAATCATTCATCATCAACAATGGGAAGGTAAATCAAAAAACTCATCCTACGTTATAATGAATGAATGAATGAATACTATCTAATGATAGATGGATAAGTATTTACTGGACTGGCGCTTGAGACTGAAAGGTCTTGGGTTTGAATCTCGTGCTTTGAGATCGTAGATGCATACTGCTGAACAGTTTCGCAATAGGACGAAACGGTTGTTCAGTGCTTTCAGGTTTTCCATAATGATCTAGTTGCAATTGACTCAGAATATCAACTACTGAAATCATTTAATTATTCAGTATTTTTTTATTAAATTATTATATCTCAATACAATCAACGAATAAGCCAAGTATCAAATTTCATTCAGTCTTCTCTTCCTGCTCTTACTGTGATACTAATGTTAGCAGTATTTATTTTTGATTAGCGAGTTAGTTTGTCACGGGTGGGGGTCGCTAACCCTATGCCCAACCCTCCTCCGTTATTCAGGCTCGGAACTGGCAGTAGCTCCAGAGAGGCTCAGTCGTATGTTTTACACCATATTGTCTTATATCCTTGAAAATGCTAAAAAACGGTATCACATTATGCTTTTTACTAGATACATTGAAGAGAAATGTTTCCTGATGTCTACAATAGTTCATCGAAAAACAAATCAAGAAATAAAAATACCAAGTTCATGAATGGCATTAATAGCTCCTTGATACCAGATTATACGAAACAAGTAATGATATAATCGATATTTTTTAGTTGTTTATTGATTTTAGGTTTTCATATTTCTCTCAATTGAGATAGCTATTACAATATTGATCATCATGATCTTCTCAATACCGTAAGTTACCTAAAATAAACTATACAAGGAAATATTTGATAGATTCATAAATGGATATCTATGGAATTCATGGACAGTTATTCTTTGGGTATTGATGTACGTTTTCTATTATTGTAATCTTAACATTATCATCAACTGTTGAGCTAAATGTTTTTTCGATAGTTTGCCTGTTGCATTCGCCTGTGTACTCAGTTATATGGTCATATAAATATCATCATATGTTCAAGCCGGTGATCGACCAGTCTTTTATTCAGATATGTGGATCCTATGTGGTACTGCCTTATGTCTAATGCAAGTACATCAAGCTGATGAGTTTCAAATAGAACAGAACGCACGTCCTGAATCCCATATCATCACATTAGTAGATGGATGTTGCTATAAGACCTGTCAATTGGTTTCAAATTACTATTATTTTAATTCAAGTATTTCAAAGACACTCATTGTCAAATATACAGTCGGACATGTATACTATTTGAATAACGATAACTTGAACATTCGTATAAGCCTTGCCATTCAAAAGAAATCCTATAACTTATATTACAGTTCAAAATAAACCATAGTTCACCTTTTCTAAACTGTATGAAGCTTGTCTTAACTACATGTTATTGTTGAATTAGAAGCCTCATTTTAATCAGTGATGTTATCACCCTTTCATCAAAATTATATTCAGTAAGACCGTGTAGAATGGATAGAACAACTACTTGGAAACACAAGACAGTAATTAAAATATTTCGTCAACATTCATAATTGACCGAGAAAACATATTACAAATTCTCTTCTAATAGCATACGTGAACAATGAATCCTTAGGATAGCTTCATCTCAACTATTCACTCATATTGTAATAGTAAGTGAATGCCGGTTTAGTGGTCTAGTGTTTAAGTGCTCTCTCGCGAAAACAGTAGGTCCTGTGTTCGAGTCTCGCAAGGGGGCGAGGTCGTGGATGCGCACTCCTGGGGAGTCCCACAATAGGACTAAACGGTTTTCCATGGTGGTCTAACTTCAACTAACCTTTGATCTTAACCATTGAAGTAAATGGTTCTATTTAGTATGTTTGACTTTTGTCTAGAAGTACATTTATATGACAATAACATTTAAATACAACACTAATTCATTTTGATCTATTTTGTAGTTGGTCTGCTTTTGCGTTAGCAATGTTGATGATATTCTATCATAAAATAAGAGATGAACATCCATTGAATATTTATCTTCTGATTATTTACGTAAGAAATGTCAATTTTTGTATTTACTTTGACAGTTGTTGCACTTTTTAAGGTACATGAAATCTTGTTATTGATTGAGATCATGAGGCAATTCCCGGAGTTCTAGTGAGAAGTTGTGACCAGTGGAGCTAATCCGTGTTGGATAGAGACAGGTATCTGCCTAATTACAATGGAAGATGGTCGTGCAATTTTGTAGATTGGTTGAGGTTAGACATTATCACCGTTGGATGTTAGCAAGTTCAGTGGTCTAGTAGGTCGAGCGTTCGCGCGCGAAACTCAAATCCATGTGTTCAAATTCTTTGAGCGGGATCGTGAATGCGCACTACTGAAGAGTCCCACAATAGAACGAAATGGCCACCCTGTGCTTCTAGGTTTTTAATGGTGGTTAAAACAGCAATCGATTAATGATCTCAATCAATAAATTAATAATCTCCAGAACCCTATACTGATGGAAATTTGTGTCTAACTAGGAATGTGATTACCTTTAGTGATGTAATATGATATAATGGATGATTACAGTGTTAACTTTTTAAATGATCTGAAGAACAATCTATTGCTGATCTATGAATATCAAACAAGTCAGACAACAAAATATGACAGAGCTTAGTTCCACTCACATTTTTACCGATATCAAAAAGCATATCAGTCAGTCAGTCTTGAGTGCTGTTAGAGTTATGAGGGCGTTTATCACTTCCTGGTTGCCCACACCTTGGAAGGGTTCTTCTGGAGGTACCTGAAAAGAAAATCGGATTAGAGGTGGTCATAGTGACCTGAGAGCGTGACCACAGTGCCCAAGGGACAGCTGCTTGAGGTCGGTCACACACGACCATTTTATGGGTAGTTTTTGTGTTAGCTCCGTACTTGTTGAGACCTTACCGCAGGAGACGGACAAGGCGAGGTATGCATTTTTAGGGTCGACTTTATCTAACCCCACCCCTCCTTGTGGGAAGGCAGCATCGCTGTTATGCTGGTTGTCTGAAGGAAACACATTACTGCTGTCACACCTCTGTACATTCAGCAGTACGACTTCACCTTCGGACCTTGGATTTGTTGCTTTAGGTCCTACCGCTCATCAACCGACCTGTTTGGCATGGTACGACCTTGAGTAACGGTTGTTCCAGCCAGTATAGCTCAGTTGCTTCATCACGATAGGCAAGCCCGACCACCACGTCAAGGTAGTAATAACGGTAGGGGCAAAAAGCATACATGCAGTAAACGAGGATCTTCATGACAAATATTTCAAGACGAATGCATATGTATACACTTACATTAACACTCCAACTTATCATTACGCAATAATACATATATACGTATACATATACACATATATAACGGACCTATACACTTCAGGAGTGATTGTTTATACTTCATCACAATGCGATTGAATTTAGATAATGTACTTCCTGAATATTATTGTTGAAATGAATGTTGGAAGATTGGAAGAACACAATCCCGTGTCTTCCTATAATGTTTAGATATGAAATGACTTTTGAATTAGGGAATGTTCATTATGTACCTCTATCAGGATCGTAGTAAGTTATTATTGTTTTTAGGGTAATGATATCATGAAACTTTAAGGAGCTTTCTCGTAAACATTTGCTTAACGTAACCTAGTAAACACAAGATGTATGATGATAGATATTGTACAGGAACCTTTCTGTATGCGGTTAACTCAACGTTGATTACTGATTCAGTCTCTAATTCATTTTGTTATGTTCCAGTCGATATGGATCGGTACAGCAATTGGAATTTCGGTTTTAAAACTATGCGTCTATTTGAAAGTTATTGCCATTGCAATCACATTGATATCTTTTATCTGTTCCATATTCATTGGAGCTGCAATTCGAACACGATTAGCTGATCAGTTCCTGTCAATTCTAATATTCATTGTGATTCTTTCCATCGTTTTTGTTGCAGCTGCGATTGTGTTTTATGTTTTAGAGCGTTGGGTATGTCAATGAGTGAAATTGTGTTTTATTTACAAACTTATTATTCTTCATATGACCGTTCGTTGCATGGAAAGTCATGGAAGAAACTATTATTCTCCTATATTACGATTCTTTGACAACATAAACATCTGATACACACTTCAAACACAAATGACTTGGATAATACTCCCGATAGACAGTAGATGACAAATGAATACTGAGTCTACCCATAAGTTTCCAATCTAAAAAAAGGCTTATGAAGCTGGTTTATTTTCAGAAGGCATTTGTATTCATTCACTTATCTGTGTTTAATTATTTATTTATTTGAACATATAGATATTGATACAATGAGGTGTCAGATACATATGCGCTACACAAATCTCATTTAATTTGTGTGAGGGCTGTGATACCGCCTGGGTGCCCAAACCGAAGTTGGTGGTTTTCTAAGAAGCCCACACTCGGAACCTTTGACTTAAAGGTCTAATCCACAAGGCAGAGGAACAACGTTAGGAGATACATTCCCATGGTAGCCGGTGACCAATGATTGTTTCATACGCCATTTGTTCCTTCAGGATACTGCAGCCAGGCAATGTGCACAATTGGTTTGGAATCAGGGTTTACCAACTCCTCTACGTGGACTTTACGTGTCCACGAACTCAGTTAAAGCGCCGGACATTCGCTTTTCGTCCCTTCATTTTGGTATAAACACCCCAGCCACTAGAAGACAATGAGTAGGACTTCCCTGACAGAGGCTAAATACGCATGGCCGTGTGAGAGCATTTCGAGAAGGAGAGCGGATTCTTCCCACTCTCGACCGTACCAGGGCATAGAAGTTTTCTAAATGACATACTAATTTAATAATAATCTCAGGTAGGTCAATAATCGGATTTGAGAAAATGACGAAGAAAGAATTGATTCAAAAGAATTTTTCAGAAATATGAACTACGTTCAACTACGTTGGATTAATTTCAACGTGTAATACGTTTCGGGATAACAGCAGAATGCGTTACGTAGTCACACTTCAATTCATTTGCTCATAATCTTCAATATGCACAATGATTTCCATCAATGAATTGAAAGATTCCACAAATATAGTTCTGTGTGTAAGAGATACATATTTCACTAACAAGGACTACTCAATAATACTTCCTTCATTCACATATTCAATCAACAAACTTCTTCAATATTGACTGCCTTGACCAAAACGCTTTGTACATGATACATGTACGCGATCGAATCACGGTCTAAATCTAAACGTTTTTCTTCCATCCTTAGATGGAAAGTAGTTGTGATTAATGTTTACTACTACCATACACTAAAACGTGTAGAACAATATAGATCAGGCACAAGGAAATCAATTCTCTCCATTACATAATAGGCAATATCCTTCTGATAAACAGTAAAAGTATGAGTTAACAGAAGTTAAATGATGAGGTCTATCTAAATATACAGTTCAATTCATTCGATTCAGTCCCATATTGATATTGATAATTTTCTATTGAATATCCATATGTTAAATGTTGACTTCTCATTCAATTTCAGGTTGCACTGGTCTCTCTCTTTGTAGGTGCTGACATAGTATTACTACTTGTGAGTAATATTCATTTATATATTTATATACACAGTAAAATTAGTCTTCCTAATTGATCAACTGTATCATCAGTCATTTGGAATGATAAGAGAATTTGTCGCTGTCTGTATATAGTAGCAGTTAGATGGTGGTTGGAGGTAGTCGACAGGAAACCTGGGTCGAGGGTTTCATGTCGAATACCTCCAAACACCATCTAATCTCACAATAGTGCCCGCAGTGTCGAATCACCTAGACTGGTGGCCACATTGCAACATGATCGATAGCATTCGATCTGCACTAATAATAAGGACTAGACACGCATGACATTGGTCACCCAGTGATCAATCAATTGTGATAGTAGCAGCTTACGGGTTGTTCGAAATCACTGACATATACATTTTTAAATTTCTCTTAATAGATTACAATCTGTTTCAGCCAATTTACTGTTGGAAAATCACAAGTTCGAATCTTCTTTCCATATTGGACGGTAGCAGCATTAGTACTGTATACTCTATTTTACATCGATTTATCAAATAATTTATATTTGGTGGGTATTGTAGATATTATCATGAAAGTCAATGAGACGAATAGCACGCTGTGGTGGTAAATTTATTGTTTATAAAGAGATAAATGTGAACCATTTGAAACTAAATTTGTGTTCAAGTACAATCTGTTGAATTTTGTTCCATCTGTAATAAAATATACGTTGAACAAAATCATTTCTGTGAATTGTGTTACTTTTTACCAGCTACTGACCAAGTTATTCAGTAGTATACATAGAACACGTAAAATGTTGAATAATCTTACTACCTGAAAGGACGATCAGTTTATTAGATGAATATCAAGTACCACAAATGCGTATAAATGAATACATATGACACAATTATGTTCATCAATTTACATTGCTGTGAATCACGTCTATTATAAATGTAGGTGAACATATAGGAAGAACAAGTGAACAAAGTGAGAGACGATCACATTTGTGAATATCTTCATATGATCTACAGATTACTGTGCACATTTCTTACATTACGTTGAACGAATTCATTCATGAAAAGATCATCAATAAAGTAAACAGTGTTATTAAACTAATTTCTATAAGTCAACTGGACTGTATTTGAAACATTCGAGGTAATTGATGAATTACGTTTCGGAACAAAGAATTATAATATCGCTCTTTCAAGGAAAAGTGTAATTCAAAAAGCGTATAATATGTAACTAACAGTCACGACACAATAGAAGTTTTCGTCAATCTATATTTACACATTCACTGTTTCGTATTCAACTTAGAATGTCAGTTGTTTCTTTAGTTTTATCCATGGGATAGGAAAATAAATACATTTGTGAATAGTTTACTGAAAATTTCCAGCATATAATAAAGATAGACGCTCATGAATAGCACTCTACGCTTATATGATTACACTGACGAAGAATGAACAGTTCACTCAACTACTATTCAGTAGTATTATATCCCTTTAGTCCTACTACTTATACCCAAAATCAAAGAAACACTATGTTATAACTTGTGACCTGCCAATTGTTATATGTTGTGATGCAGGTGGATTGGAGGACAGTGAGTTATCGATCGGACCAAAGACGCGTAAAACACGTAAGAACAGCCTAGAGTTCTGATTGGCCCTGCTTCCCTGTCTAGCCTAGCCAGTTGAGTTCAGAACTCAAGTCGCAGCTTCTGTGATATGAATCATTATATTTCAAACATACTCTGTTTATATACCAAACAAACAGACTATATCGTACCATAAAATAGAAAGTAACATTTGTACAAGATTTGACCTCCAGGAAATGGCACAAATAAATATTGACCAACGGGAAAATGACACCATTTCTTATTCAGGAATAGCAATAGATAATTTCTGGGGTATTTTCTGAATACCCCAACACACTTCAATTCCCAAGATGTAAAGTAACAACATAACAGACTAATTCAAGTGAACATTTATTCACTTCAGTGATATTCAACAATGATCACAGTGAATTTGGGAAAAAAATTCTTAGTTTGCCTTTTCATCTCAAGTGATTATTATTATTATTATATCAAGAATAGTCTTAATAAACCTTTTCATAAATAGTGAATGGTAGTGTCTATCCATTTAAATGGGATTATTTCAGTAAACATTGATGAAATGTCATTGTAATGTCAACTGTTCAGTACTCAAATCATTGTAGTGGCTATGCTTCGTTAACCAATCATCCTCGTGGCTGTTATCAAATGATCCTCAATGGTGTTTCAAATCAGAAGGCAAAGAGAAGCAGCGACTACAATTTATTAGCAGATAACTCAGACCACAAAGCAGAGAGGCGAATGAGTGAGTTAGCGAGTCGAGAGTGTATATGTGATTGAACGTATATACAATATATACATTCGTAGGCAGCAAGCAATATTCAAGTATACATATTTCTTACAAGCACAATAATAATAAGGCTACAAGAAGTTGTTATAGTACGGATGACTCTGTCCGCTAAATAAGTTCACCGAAGAGCATAATCGAATTAAATGTGACCAAAATCAGTTGCACGTGAGCTGCTATGGTAATCACTGATCGTAGCAGAACAGTGTTGACATTAGGAGACAAAACGAAGTTTCACTAAAGTTTAATTATGTATACGTATACAATTGTAGAAAATGAGATTCAACGATCACAAATAGAAGACTATCCCATAGATTTGAAGGTATTCTGATACTGCAATATTGATGTCTACATTTGAAAGTGATTTTCAATGAATTTCACAAGCCAATAATTATTAACGATGTCCTTAATTGATTATACAATATACAGAATGAATATTATTGAAGATTATATAAAGTATTTCTTGTTGCATTGAGGTATAACTGATGGCAATTATTGATAGTTGCTATGCGTCGTGAAGTTCATAATGTTAATAGAGTAACTATTTGTATATTGGCTTTACAATCTCACAATTACATATATACCAGAAAGGTTTTTTGTGGATATTATAGTAATTTCAATAGTTGAAATTATGTGTCCTAAAAGCACTGGACGGCCGTTTCATCCTCAGCAGTATCGCGAATTTCCAACCCAAGACCTATCAGTCGCGCGCGCGAACGCGCACATTCTCTACACCATTGAGCGGGCATCCAACTGTGGTAATATCTAACTTCAATCAATCCACGACATTGAGTGACACATCCACCATTGTATTCAGTGAGTTACTACCTCACAACACACCCGATTAATCTCCATTGGACACTGCTTCTCACTAGAACTCTAGAAAGTACCTTCAGGTTTTCCATACTGGTCTAGTCTCAAAAATTAAAAAACTGATATTCTCAATATTGTGTATATGTTCTCGAAAAGTTAAAACGTAGTGACGTAATCGTTTAGTATAAAATTATCTATCAGTCTGATAGGTCCTGAGTTCGAATCCTTCGATGCGGGATCGTAAATGCGCGCTGCTGAGGAATCCTACAATAAAACGAATCGGCCATCCAGTGCTTTCGTGTTTTCCATGATGGTTTCCCCAGCACCCTCCTTCCTTCGAAAACCAAGATTTCTTCGGTACTACTTGCAGCCTAATGAACGGCTTTCGACGGCCATCCGAATTCTTTAGTGTCCTCCGACTTCAAACTTCCCGCCTATTGTTCTCCATTATGTCCTCGGAAGTTAAAATATTTGGAACATCTGTGATTATCTCCAGTGGAAACCTCACTTGCCTGTATGCCGTGTTTAATGTTCTGTGTGTTCGGTTGATGTATCTAATCCATGTCCTAAACGTCAAATGCAGTTTGTTCAAAACGATCCATATTCTCTCTTCAAAAACTTCAGGTCCTCATCGATTTTTCCGATTGTATGACTTATTAGTTACCTTATCACACACAGTAGGACTTTGCATATTCTGAATTTGTCTGCACATATCCATTGTTTCAGGTGACAACGTGGCGCTGAATATAGTCCTAATACTTCTTCTTCACATAACTTCAGCTGGTGACTTCCCATGGCATATATTTGTGGTCATTTCGTGAGTACATACACTATCACCATACACACTTCTCCCCGTACTAGGCCGACAACATCTACATGTAGCCTCTTCCAAGGACTGTTAGGCTTTTTTGCGTAAATCCAGAGTCTGTATTCGGCTACATGTCACAGCACCAGGTTGAGCTGCTTTTCTTGGTCTATTCTATCTACCATCCATCTGTCATCCAAATAAGCTTTAGCACTTAGGACATCCTGTAGCACAGTATCCATTACTTGCCGAAATATGAACGGGGCCGTCTTGACTCAGAAAGGTAGTCCATTATATCTCAATGGGCCCTTGAATATGTTTATTATGAGCTGATATTTACTCTCATCAGCAACAGGGGTTTGTAAATTTGCGTTCTAAATTTGCAAAGAGCTTGACTCCATTCAGTTTAAGAAAAGAATGTTCAGGTAAGGGTAAAGTGTACTGATTATTTTCTAGGGCTTCATTCAACTCGGTTGAGTAATCGGCACAAAATAGGATGCTACCGTTCGTCCTCTTTACTATCATTTCGGCACAGCCCTTCCTAAAACATTCATTGGTTGAATAACATCCAATTTATGAAGTCGTTCTAACACTTTATCAACCACTAAGAGGGCAGCATATAGTCCTTTGTGTCGAAACACCGGCTGCGATCCCAGTCGAAGTTAAGGGTGGTTTTAAATTTATTGCATTCTCCAAGCCTCTCACTAAATACCACTTTATATCGTTTTCAAAATGCCTCCAATTAATTTTTCTCTATCTATTTCGTTGCACTGACGTTGTTACAGATTGAGTTTATGGGATGATCTGTTAACTTAAGCCTATCTATGTAGCCTATCTATGACGTCCTGTCAGAAGTATAACCCCCTTCTTCGATACATCCTTGACTGTGAACTCACAATGTATCACACAAGCGATGGTTAACATTCCCACAGATGCACTGTGAGCTGACTGTTGAATAGGATATATTCGAAGTCTCCCAATCTTATCCCACGTTTTCCTGCCCACCAGTGTTATACCGGAAGCTGTGTTTAACTGTAAGCTACAGTGATTGAGATTCAGCAATAATGATGATAAATACAATAAATGTTATAAGTACATGTAAATATTTCAGAATATTACACGACAAACTAGCGTAGCAACATAAGCTTAAAAATGTACAGAAATGTAACTTTTTACTGAAAACAAATACGTAGTATAAAGCAATACGCAAAAGAGTCGAGGGCAAGACATAAAGGATGGAGCAAGTTAAACAGACTTAACACATAAATGAAACGTCAACTAGACTGGAAGTGTGGGTAAGAGGAGACAATGATAATAATAAGAGTAGAGAATGTGCGCGTTCGCGCGCGCGACTGATAGGTCTTGGGTTGGAAATTCGCGATACTGCTGAGGATGAAACGGCCGTCCAGTGCTTTTAGGACACATAATTTCAACTATTGAAATTACTATAATATCCACAAAAAACCTTTCTGGTATATATGTAATTGTGAGATTGTAAAGCCAATATACAAATAGTTACTCTATTAACATTATGAACTTCACGACGCATAGCAACTATCAATAATTGCCATCAGTTATACCTCAATGCAACAAGAAATACTTTATATAATCTTCAATAAT